CAGGAATGCACTGAGTATATTAGCATCGAAATGAACTCACCTAAATCCGCTATGCAGCACTGTCCATTTTTCTTTACAAGGATATTTTTGCTCTTCAAGTCCCGATGAGAAATGGCAGGCTTCCCCTGGGTTCCAAATATCTCTATGTGCAAATGTGCAAGACCACTAGCTATGGACAGTACTATGCGCAGGCAGCTGACCGTGTCCAGGGTAGTGAGCTGTAGGTAGTCATACAGAGACCCCATTTCATGGTAGTGAGTAATTAACCACAACTGAGTACTAGAGTTTCTGGAAGTCATATCAGATGCAATAAAACCTAGAAAGAGAGGAAGAAGAACAAAGAAACAATAAAATGTGACGACAGAGCTCCTTCAAGACTCCCCCAAGAATAGCATTAATACTGCTAGGTCCCTCTTACAAGTTAAAACTGTTCAATTAAAACTTCTCCACAATCGTACTGCACTGAAAACAGACTACAGGTGAAAAAAGAGACGACGTTCTGGAACACTAACTCAAGTCTATTGACAAGAGTGTATTTATGTATTTTGACAGTCACACCAATCACAACTACTTCTTAGGACCACATACTTTAAATAAAAAAAATTGTTGGTTTTTTTTTATCCTTCCTTTTGAAGGACTTGGGGGTAGGGAAGTCTCCAGTTAAAAAGACCACCAGGCTGTAGCACGTGTGCTGCTGTCCACTCATCAGGATTACATTGGGGAGAAGAAATGCCTCAAATAGACAAGTCATAAGTAATCATTTCCATTTTTAAGGACAACAAGCAGCCAGTGCAGGCTGCCGAGAAAAGCGTTAAAAGTGTTTCACATACGGATCACATCCCGATAGACACTGTATGTTGTGCCAGCTTCTGCTTACATCCAAGGGAGCACTTCAACAATCAACCCCGACATGTCAAAAGCTTGCTGTCCCCACAGGAAAAGTCACACCCTTCTGACCAAATACAGACTGAATAAAGCACATCTTACCACAGCAACAACTTGCTCTCCAATGATCTCCGATTGCTTAAAAGGCTGCAGAGGGATTGCTGCAGTCTGATAAATTATCAGGCCTATGGGACTGCTCTAAACTGCTGTAGGCTCCAAATGCCTGATCTTCTTAATCGCACACCAGCTCACAAGGGAGCCACGGGATATAAAATGTGGCAGATGGCTAAGTACGGTGTGGCAGTACCAGAAGATTTAGCATACCAAAACCCAAAGAATAGTAACTCTTCTACTTTAAATACTAGACAGTTCAACTCGTGTGCAACTTAACTTCCATGGTGAAGTAAGGCAGAGCACCTTTATGCAGCACAGCTGTATTTCACAATGATTTTCCACAACGGAACAGAGATAAATTTCTCTTTGAAACTCATTAACCTCAAGAACTGCTTTCAAAAATATGGTGTCTTTAAAACTGAACCCAAAATTCAGAAGTAGCTCCCTTCCTGTTACCACTGAACTTACTGTGTATCAGCACACTGTTGACCTCAACAGCTTTAGCTGGGAAGCAACAAAAGTTTTATGCCCAAGTTAGAGGAAGAAGTCATGTTTATTAAAAGCCCACAGATGACATTTGTCAGAAAGAACACCCGCTACTTTCTCTCCTGAAGTCAGATTTCTGTGCAATGTGACACTTCTGTAACCTGTGATACTATTTAATATTGCATCTAAAAAAATTCTATAAAATAGACAACAAATTTGACAGTTATCAAGAAAGACTAAGCACAGAGGAACATGGGAAATGTGTAATGTAATTTCAGCCAAGTTACTTACTCTCTCGGGAAGGAAAGTTCAATAATTCACATTTCACGAGGATACCAAATTCTTTTTTTAGTAACAAAGAAACTGCTTCAGGAAACATTAGACAAATATCTAGCAGGGTGAGCTACAGAGCCAAGGAATATTCTCTGGCAGGAAACAAGAATAAGGAACCCAAGTAAAACTGATTGAGGACGGACAGATTATGGGTGAGGTAATGTCAGCACACAGAATACATGCTGCTGCTTTTATCTGTAAAGGTGGCATACCAGTGAAAGAAGGTCACGTCTACTAGGAATCAAAAGGGCTGCTTAAACTTCAGCCATGGCTCACTACACAAAAAAGCCTTTTTCTAAGCTCTCAGAACTGAGCACACAAGGTACAAGGGATGCAGAAGATTCAAAATCTTCGTGCACGAATGTACGTATGAAACATCTCTCATCACACTTAGAGGGAAATGAGATACATCATAAAGGGGCAACTATAGTTGAAGTTTAAACACCAAAGGAGCTTAGTTTGACCCTAAGCAGAACAATTAAACAGAAGAAAATAATGGATTTATACTGCAGTTTATTCAGGCACAAGGAAAAGTATTCAAATATTTAAATCTCATTATAAACTCCTCCGCACTTTTTCTCCCTTTATTTCTCCCAGGTAAACTGAAGCTATGAAAAAAAACAAACCAAAAACCCCCAACAACTAGATCTACCAGAACCTCTTCACCTAACACACTGCACAATACTCTTTTGCCATTTAGCTGCCCTGCAACATGAGCTGCAGGACTTAATTCTTGGCATGAGGGTCTGTGGCACCTTCTATCTTCTCCACTGGCGTGGTTTAGCCCCAGCCGGCAACTAAGCACCACGCAGCCGCTCACTCACTCCCCCTCCCACAGTGGGGCGGGGGAGAGAATTAGGAAAAAAAACCTTGTGGGTTGAGATAAACACGGTTTAATAAGACAGAAAGAAAGAAGGAAACAACAATGATAATACCAACAAAGGAATGCACAAGAACAAGTGATGCCCAATACAGCAATTGCTCACCACCCGGCGATCGACAGCCCATCCCCAAGCAGCGATTTCCGCCCCCCGGCCAACTCCAGTTTATGTACTGGGCGTGATGTCGTATGGTAGGGAATCTCTCTTTGGCCAGTCTGGGTCAGCTGTCCCGGCTGTGTCCCCTCCCAGCTCCCTGTGCACCCCCAGCCTGCTCGCTGGCAGCCCAGCACGAGAAGCTGGACTGTCCTTGACTGCTCAGCAACAACCCAAAACATCAGCACATTATCAACAGTTTCTCATCCCAAATCCAAAACACAGTCTCACACTGGCTTCTGTGAAGAAAACCAGCTCTATCCTGGCTGAAACCAGGACATCCACACACTGTGCTGCCAGCTACACTAGATTAAGCTGGTTGACTGCTTCTTGCTAGAGTATTTCCGCAGGAGGACAATGATTCATGGTTGCTACAACACTTTCTCCAGTTGAGATTCAGACTTCAGCATCCTCCTGCAAGTCTCCCCCATAAAATTTCCCTTCAACTATTTATCACAAACACAAGAGCCTAATCTCAAAGATTGCAAGATACCCAGCAAATCTGCAGCACTTTATAAGTCAACTCTTCAGTTAACTCACCTTTATGCCAGCTACACTAGGAAACACAAACATGGTTTCTACTTACCTAAAATGTTTTCATGCCGCAGCAATACAGTGTTGTACAATTCAGTTTCCCTGAACCAGGATTTTTCATCCCTAGAAGAGAAGATCTTTACAGCAACATTTTCTCCTTGCCACTGACCCCTCCAAACTTCTCCGTAACGGCCCTTTCCTAGTGGGGGAAAAAGAGCAGTAAAAGTTGTCAACTAACAATCTTCACAGGGCAGGTCAGAATTAGCTAATAGGATAGAAACTCAACAGTTATAGCCCAAATATCACACTGACGTAGTTTGATCACATCTGCATAAAATTTTAACCACTTCTAGTGTCACACTGCACTCCACTGTCACTTAATTTTTCCTGTTTGTTTCAACGGCAAACTCTGAGAGTACAGATCTCTCCTCCTCGCACGTTGGTACAGTACACAGAGTGTTTGTACTGGGCAGGTGTAATTATTCAACTGCCTGCAATGAAAGCTCTTTTGCAGCTTAAGCAACTTCGGCAACATACTACGAAGTCAGTGTACACAATACAAATAAGTCTAGGAATTCTGAAGTTAGGAGGACAGGAAGGATGTATAGCACTGGGGATAGAGCCCTTACATTTCTCTTGCATCATCAGCTCTTGGAAAAACAATCAGCACAGCCAGACACACAAAATGCAGAATGACAATTTAAAAAACCCAGAAACCAAAACACACCCACCCCCCTGCCCCAAATCCACCCACAAACAAAAGGATAAAGAAAAACCCACAAAAAAACCCAGTTCAAAAAGCCCACCCCTGCCCTGTGGCGATCAGGGCATGCTGTCTGCATGCCAAGCTCTTGACGCAAAAAGATTAGAAAAATGTAGGAAATTATCAAGTGTCCAACAGCAAAGCAACATTCTGGTCAAGGCACACTGAAAAAGTTCTGATCATTGCCATTTTCATTGCAGCCTGAATACGACAGCCTCAGGCTTAATGCAATGAATTGTGCTAGGTTTGACAACTATAAATATCCAATTTATATAATATAAATTCTGTCCTTCTATTACTCTGCCGCTCAGTGTTCTTTAGAGGTATATATGAATCAGCAGCAGGTATAACCAAATGAAGAGAGTTACCCAACACCGATGCCTCAGTGCTGCCACCCAGAAGAGACTTCCTGCACAAGCACTTTTGTCTGGTTCGGCTACACAGGCTAAAACACATGGTCTCTGGAAATAGGGCCAGCCTGAGCTAACTTGGGAGCAGGCACAATTCCAGAGACACACACTTATTCACACGTATATACACACACAAAAAGATAGGTCTACATTGCAGGCAAAATCATCACGCACGTCATTCTACAGTTTCTGAGGAAGTGAAATTGCACAACATCAGAGGAAGTACACTTGGATTTAATGCAAGTGTGAACATTTGCACCCACTCCATACGAACAATAAGCCAGAAGCAAAGAAATGCTGGTAAAATGTAGGTCCAGTCCCTAAAGATTCACAAGTTAATCTGTTTTAGTCTGGGTCTCGATTTAACCCTGGTGACTTAAAACTTCTAGTTACTTAGAGGAAGGTGTTAACCCTTCTGAGTTGAAATCACTGAAGCAGTGGCATAAAACGTATTTTAAATAGTCCTTTTTTTCTAATAGTATCAATCATTATCATGTCTTCCTCACCTCTTCAGTGCCATTACGGCATCTTGGCTCAGTGTCTCTGCCTCAGGATAATTTTGACCCAAATGTTTCCTAAAATTACTACATTCAAATTTAACACTACTTAATTAATAATATATACACGCTGAATAAAAATTTAATGGCTCCTTAAAATTAACACTAAAGTCCTGAAAAAAAACCCTGAAGACCCAGAACAGTTTTAGAGAAGAATTACTAGACAGATTCTTTTTTAGGGGGAAAAGAGCAGCAACAGTACATCACCAACTGCGCTGGTCCCAAAGCAAGAGTGCAGAGCAAGTAAGCTACAAAACATTTGTGTTAGCATTCTAATGGCACAGAATCACTTTTTTTTTTTTTTAAATGCCACTCTAGTCACTTTGCTTGATGTTTCAACTCCAGATTTGAAATCCAGATGATCCTTTTGTAATTCTAAAGCTTTCTAATTGATCACCATTTAATAAACTTTAATGAATTGTTTGTTTCAGTTTGACACTTCCAAACTTCAAATTGAGCTTGCTTTTCTAAAAACACGATTTCACTTACAAAGTACCCAAACAAGCCTAGTTCGTATTTTCTAACATCACCTTACTGAACAAAGCTTAAATTTTTTCAATCATAAAGCACAAATGATATTTGCTCCTTTCTTCTGCATAGATCTGAACAAAATTTTTTCACTTCACTTTCCAAAACCAAATGTGTTATGTAAGGTGAAGCCTGAAAAGTTTAATGTATTATATAAGCAACTGAGGAAAACCAGAAAATTAAGATGGAAGATAAAGTTTCCTCTCTGCATTTGTAACCAAGACTTGACACTAGATGTGAACAAGATTTATACTAACCTACACACTCTACAAGTGTGATCTGGCGAGCCACAGTTCTTTGCACCAAGAAAGGAAGTCCAGAACCACTTCCAGATGTGCAGGAATGATCCAATAAATCCTATTCAAAAGGAAAAGCAGAATTTTATAAACTATGAGAAACTACATTTTTCCCCCCCATTTCAATACACAAAGGTATTGTGTATTTAGAGGATAGGTTAAGTTAAAGCTCATTGGTATCTCAATGGCTCTGGTGATGCCATTTGATCTCTCGGGATCAAGACATACTGTTGCCATCACCGTACAGATGGATGGACAATGTTCTTTGCAAGATTTTACCATTTTAAAGAAAATCCCATGCATAGAAGAGACTCACAGGGGAGCTATAACTTAGGCATAATCGCTTTCTGTTGGAAATTTTACACACAATACAACAACGAACAGCTGACAAATCAAGCACCATTTCATTCTCAGATTTCTTATTCTGTCTCCATCTTCTACTTAGCATTACACTATCACTTGGTTTAATAAAGAAATCATTTTAATACATATGTGACAATAAATTTACTGCCTGTGAACCTGGAAGCCCACTCGTAGCCTACAAGCTCTCCTCTGTAGTGAAATTCCACAGTTTTTCAGCCCTTAATTGTTGTCTCACTTAGCTTGTTCTCTCTCAATTCTGTATCTGTCACCTATTTCAAAAAGATTTGTATCAACTATTTTTCCCCCGCCAGATTTCCCATGTCCTGCAATAATTTGAGCCACCTCAGTACGACACAAGTTTACTTTCTCCGATTTCTCCTGCACCCAAGGCCTTCACTTCTATACGGTTAGCAAAAAGAAAAACTTTTGAACATTCACACAGACTTTTTCCCATTCTTCCAGTTACCTGAGGTTTTTTCCTAGAAAAGATGACCAGAAGGGCACAGCAACACAAATGTGTTTTCACTAGTTACAGCTAAGGTCATGTCCCAGCCCCACTGATCTGTGGTATCAGATACTCTCAAAATCTATTTTACAATCCCCTGTGAATAAACGTGCATTAGAAAGAGACATTCAGAACTTTCAACTTTTATTTATTAATATAAACGGACCCTGGAAAAGAGCCACAGCTGACACTTTCTAGTTGAAATGGTAAGAGATAAACCCAACACATTCCTGTGGTATAACTTGCTTTTTCAACACCTTTCTAATGGGTGGCCTGCACACAATTTGTGCCCAGCTACCCATTTTGTCTGACGTAATATGGGGAGGGATGTCAATTTTGCTGAAAAAACCCTACAGATGGGTGTCTTTTGGGTCCACATGAGCCGAGCAGAGAGGCTAGAGCCCACACGTCACAGCCAGG